GGGAGGGAATGTAAAAGCTAATAGCAACATTTTTTATGTTTTAATAAGTATACCATGCCTTTAGTTACCATTTCTATCTTCTTTAGCCTGTTATCCACCTGTGGGGCAGGCAGGATGGAGCTGTGGTTATTATTTATAGATAAGGAAACAAATATCTGGAGGGGTGAAGTGACTGGCCCAAGGTCACATTTTGAATAAAGGCCCATAAAAATGAAGCAAACTTCCCCGGGTTATAAAGTAGTAAACAAATCTGTAATATATGGGGGTTACTTTAAAAATCTCTGCTGCTTTTTCTTTAGCAAAATGTTTGAAATCAGAAACATTTTCTAGCAAATTGAGTCTGTAGAGGGCTTTCAGGCATCTCTTGGGAAATTTGACTCGATGACATTAAAGCTATGAAATTCCATGAAACTTAGTGTTTACTGTGTCCCAGACTCATGTAACTCCATAAAGTACAATTATCGGCTTGCAAGTAATTTCCAAAATAAATAGCTCTTTTGCCCATCCCTGCATCTGTCTGACTTACCAAAAGGTCTCCAGCCCATTACTTACTTATTCCATCACCTAGCCATCAATCTATTCTTTCCACACCTACTCCCTACAACATGGCAACTCTATTACTTGATCAATTGTTCATTTCCTCTGTCAGAGATAAGTAGGATTTAGAGCGAGAGGCATAATTTCTCTATAAGTCTAGAAAGCAGAACTGCCATCATGTGTCATTGAGATCTTAGTGTAATTCCCACTAAAGGGGAATTAAATTGACTGGATTAGTGAAGGTTCACGCTGTCCCTCCTCAGGGAGATGACTAAATCTTGTTGGGTGCCACATTTAGTAGTGGGATATAGGAATAGAGTTTTTCATAGGTCACAGTAGGAGGGTAATTTTCTGGAAATGAAAGTCTGCCTTGGTTGGATGGAGCAAGTTCTTTTAAGTTTGGTCTGACAAGATTCCCCCCCAGCCTCCTTGCATGAGAACAAAGTATTGTATACCCATCTGAACTGGGTAAAAACAGAAGAGAAGAGCAGCCCTCTGGAAATAGATACCCTACCTATCTCCTGATCCAAGAGCCCAGGCTCTATCCGCTGCCCCATACACGCTTCAGGGTGAGAGCTGCTCCTATTAATGTTTCCTGAGAAGCGAAGTGCAGTGTCCAATTTCAATGATAAAGTCTATATCAATAATAACATGTAACATCCTATTTTTGTTTCGTCAAGAAGTCCACGTCCCCTCAGAAGAATTATCGGTAATTCTGGGTGGCGCTGGCAGTTGTTGAGAATGGCTATTCTGTCTGGATTTGTTTTCATTTCTCTCCTGATTACTAAGAACATTCTGAGACTTAAATATTAGAATAAACTGTGGTCCTGCTGAGGGGGAGGGGGCTCATTACGAAGTGCTGGGCCAGGCCTGCTGCCTTCTTTTCTTTCAGGGGAGCATCAGCCTTTGCTACGTGAACCTCACACAGGTGTCTGTCATGGCTGAGCCAGGCTGGCTTCCTTGAAATGAGATGAGAGACTAACAATAAATGGCGACAATGCAGAACACAAAGAAGCACAAAGGAAGTCCTCATTCTCAGATAGAACTTGCCCGGGATACATGCTGATAAAATCAGATCTGAGCATATCCTGAGCTCCATCTGTTAAAGGTGCTCATAGCTGCTTAGGAGGATGCCAGGCAAAAAAGACCTGGCAATACATTTTTTGCCTGCTAAAGTAACTAATGCCCTTCCCTCCCCAACCTGGCTAAAAATATAACCAGAGTGTCACTAAAACACACACACACAAAATATGAAAAGCCTACCATTTGTTGAACAGATTGTGATAGAATATCAATTAGCTAAGTGTTTGGTATGCAAACATCCCCACTGCTAACTCACCCAGAAGAGGACTTGGAGGGAGGGAGAACACAGTGTCAGAGAATTAGGGAGCAAGCAGGCCGCCTCCAGGGGACAGTGCTAGAGCTAAAGCTCAGGACCTGGTTGACAGGTGAGAATGGTGCAGTTGCCCCTGATGTCCACCTAGCGGCAGCAATTCTAGCCAGAGGCACCTCTGCCTTGATTGGTTCAGGCGATGACTGCTCAACGTGTACCTCACAGGGGCTCTGGCAGGCTCTGGGGACTGAACGGTGTGGAAGGTTACAGGGCTCCAGCAGTGGTCCCTTTCAGGCAGGCACTGATCCAGGTTATTCTAACTCTGAACTCCAAGTCCAGGGGATATTATCTGCTAGAAGCAGGGAGCTGAGGTTTCCAAACAAACAGGACTAAAGCATCATTAGGTTTTAGTACATATTCTACGCCACAGTAGCTAAAACTCCAATGGGTGAAGAAATAGCAAAAATAGGAGCTAGCGTTCAACTAGGGATGCCACTGAGAGTAGCTGGTACGAATAACAGTGGGTCCGTGACAGGCCAGGAAGTGGGTTGGGTCTTTTGCTCTGTTCCTTCCGAATTATAATATAAACCACCCACTGCAAAGGGCAGTTCGGCTTTAGGATAAATTCAGACATGATCTAAAAGTTCTGTGAAATGAAAAGAATTCATTGATTAGTTACATAGTTCTACATTTCCCAAGATGCAGTCTGCATTTTACTCGGGGAACTGCAGATAGTTGTAGATGAAAGATTTTTGTACTTTAATAGTTCAGTATTTATTTTAATGTGCCTTAAAAGAAATTGTCATACCACAAGACTGTAATTTCACAGGTGATATAGTTGGTTTTCTATTTACAATGGTGATAGAAAATTTCCATTTTTAATATTTTTACTTAAAATAAATTTATTTGAAGAAAAATATTAAGTAAACAATAACACAGATGATGGTATTAAAAGAATGTGGCAAAAATCGCAAACGTGGAATGTAAACAATTGGAAGGTTTGGGAAATACTTCCTTAAGCTAGGGAATGAGGCAGGTTGGCTTGTAGACAGAAGAATTGGAAACACCAGATAGGTAAAAGGGAAATGGCAGAACTCTCAGAGGATCTGGATTCCAGTTCCAACCGGCACTAAACTTCCATGATAGTGGCCTCTCTCTGGATATCCATTTTCTTATTGATAAAATAACTCTAATACCTTGCCTAGCTTTGTTATTTAGTGGTCCTATTTCACTTATTATTATTGAGATGTGAACAATCATAATAACAGCCAGTGCCTTAAGGTCTGCTGTGTGCTGGACGCTTTTCATAAGTCATCGTTCTAAATTTGCATACTAGTCCTGAAAGGTAGGTGTTATAATGCTCATTCTATATTAGGAAAGTGAGGCTGAAAGATTTTAAGTAAATTGCTCAAGGTCACACAGAACCAGATTTGAATGAACTTAAACTTGACTCCAGAGCCTGTGTTTATTTCCTTTTAGCCTTGCTGTGTCTCCATAGTCAGTTCCTGTTCACCCTTCAAAACTGCTCAGGATCACCTATTCCAGAAAGACTTCTTTGACCCACATCTTTCCATTTGGTTAGATGCCCCTTCTCTGTGGTCCCTTAATTTTCTCTGTATCCGTTGTTTTGTTTTTTTAATGTCTGCCTTAGTATCCCTAGGATCCTGCATAGGCTGGGACACAGAGGAGGTAGTCAACAGATCACAGAAAGAGGGAGAGCATGAGGGAGAAGGAAAAAGGGAAGAAAGGAGAGGGGATTGGAGGGGAAAATATAGTGCTACCTTATTTCATTAAATATGAAAGAAGTAAAATTGAGAAACAGAAGATCAAAGTAGTTAAGCATAAGGCCCTCTAGCTTCAAACCACCCAGTGTTGCCACTTACTAGTATGTGATGTAGAGCACAGGCTCAATGCCTCTGCTTCACTTTCCTCATCTATAAAGTAGAGATATCAACAGCACCGACCTTGAAGGATGTTGTAAAGACTGAATGAACTATTATATATAAAGTGCTTAGAACAGTGCCTGACTATGGTAAGCAGTCTGTCAATAAATATTGGCCATTAGTATTATTATTTCTGTGAAACTAATGAAAGGGAAAAACTAAATATTATTATAAAGTGAAAAAAAGTAACACTGTTATGTACATATAGAGGCTCTTCATTTTCCTAACTCTACTTGTTGACCAAAGCAGAGTCCCTGAAAGGCAGTTAGGAATAGAGAATTGCAGCCATAGTGTGCACAATTATAATATCCTTATCTTTCCACTTCTTTTTTAAAAAGACTTTATTTACTTTTAGAGAGGAGAAGGGATGGAGAAAGAGAGGGAGAGAAACATCAATGTGAGAGAGAAACATCAATTGATTGCCTTGCATATGTGCCCCAAATGGGGACCGAACTTGCAACCCAGGCATATACCCTGACCAGGACCTTTAATTTTATGGGATGACACCCGAACAACGGAGCCGCACCAGCCAGGGCCTTATCTTTCCACTTCTATGGCAGCAGAAAAAAGCATTCCACCTGTACTCTCAGGACACTTGGAAATATTGGCATTAAAATTATCACACTGTATCATATTCTAAATTCAGATTTACTTGCTGTCTATCATCCTCAATTAGACTAAGTTCCTTGAAGGAAAAGACTCCTGTTTAATTCTCTATGTTTCCAATTCTTAGCAAAGGGGCTGGCAAGAAGTTCAATAAATATTTGCTGAATGGATATAGTAGAAAAGATGTGTACATGTGAATAATAAAATAAAAAATAAAGTGATATTTACCATACAAGTAGCTCAAATCAAATGTGTTCAGAAAGCTATACAGTAGGAAAAAGTAGTAGAACAGATAGTTAAATCGATGAACATTAAAGTCAGCCAGCCTTGGCTTTGAGCCCTAACTCTGGCACTTATGAGGTTATGTGACTTTGGGATATAATCTAACTTCTTAAAATAATTTCCTTATCAGTAAAATGGAGATATTAGTTGGAAGAACTGAATGAGATAATGTATATAAAATGTCCGGTACCTATTATGTGTTTGTAGAGTGGCTAACACATCATCACCACCATCATTATCATCACCAAAGGCTTTGTAATGGAGACACCCGCTCTCTGGATTGGCAGACATAAGGGAAGAGCACCGAACAGCCAGGAGGCGCGAATAAAGATACTGCGGGTGTTAGAAAGAGGTAAGGCCACATAGGGTGGTTAAGTAGCACTGTTTAATTGGAATATTGAGTATTTTCAGGATAATAATGTTTTAGAGAATATTGGGAAGTTGGCTTTAAATACTGGGCTGAGAAACTTAGTCTTTATTCTGCAGGTTACGCTGAGACTTTACAGGATTCTAAACAGGGAAGTGACCTGTTCAGAGCCAGCTATAGGGCGAACGTCCGGGCTGTTTGTGCCTGGTGGCGTGGGGAGGGTGAAGGGAGATGAAAGCAGACAAACCGCTTTGGAAGCTTTTCCAATATTTCCAGTAAGAAGTGGAGGTCCTCCTCTTGGATGATGGTATGGGACAGGAAGAGAGGGAATGAGCCTGCAGGGCACTGGGAAGAAGGAACTCATAGAACTGCATCCAGCTGGGTGTGAGAAGCAGAGTCAAAGACAATTCCGAAGGCTCAGAACTAGATGATCTGGAGCACGGTGCACCTATTCTAGCACAAATAAAGCACAGAGGAGACTGGCGTTCAGGGGGAAGTATATTTACTTTTACTAATTTTGAGGTGCCGTAGGATATTCAGGTGATGAATGATATCCAAGAGACCCTTTAAAATGTAGCCTTATAACTCAGATATTTATTTAGAAGATATCCTCATGGAGGTGATAGCTAAAGGTATATAGTTGGATTGCTGGCTAAGAAGGGTGAGAATATAAAGAGAAAAGGATGAGGGCATCCTCCTTGAGAAATCCCTTCCACATCTAGAGGAAGGAAAAAGAAGCCTGTGAAAAAAGATGAAGAGGAGGGAGAGAGGTAAAGAACATACTACCATGGACACCAACAGCAGAGCAGGTTTCAGGGAGGGTAGACGTGATCCGAGGAATCATGGGCTACAGCAAGGTCAAAGAGAACTGAGAAGACATCGTTGGGTTTGGCTATTAGGGAACCACTGATGACCCATGAGAGGAAAATATGTGGAAGAAAAAAATGAGTGCAGATGTGAAGGAATGAAGAAGTGGGTGTAGAAAAAAAGAGATAGACGGACAGCACATTATTAGTTCAGGAAGTTCAGGAATGAAAGAGTAGAGATGTGATAGTGGCTTAAGGTGGGAGCAGATTGCTCTTCCTCTGGTGAATGACTACTCACTAAAGTTTCTCCAGAGATGCGAATTTGTCAACACATTAAGACATAGAAGGGAATATTAGTGGAAGAGGCCGGAGGAAGGACTTTGGAACAAACTAGATCAAAAGTCAGGTTACAGCCATTCTAAAGTTCGAGAACATGTTATCTGTATGTGTACAGCAGCATCTGTTGTAGCAGAGACAGACTCATTTATCATGCATCAGCAGACTGTGAGAGAGGGAAACAAGAAACTCTCCTTCCCCACTTAGGGAAACAAAGCTAGATCCACTCTTTGAAAATGAGTCAACACTTTGAAATAGTATTTTAGCAAGGAAGGAACACTAAGAAAAGGAAGCATACAGTATCTTCCCTTTCTTGTCTTTTCCACCCAAATGCACTCAATGAAAATGCCCAGGTGCATCACTAGAACATGCTAATAATACTATTAACACCATCCAAGTTTATGGCACTTCTATCTGCACAATGCTTTTCATTTCATAAAAAGCACTCATGATCTCTTTTATTCTCACAGAATCCCTGTGAGGTATTACTTTTTACAAGGAAAGAAACAGGATCCGAAAGAATTGAGTGATTTCCCCCAGATTACACAGCCAGGAAATGGTAGAGTCCCAGACCCCTTGCTCTTTTTAGTACATGTTTTCAAATACTATTCCCCTGGTCTTCGCCGTATAACACTCTAGGTATGGAATGACAAACCGAAGTGAAGCAAGACTCTGATCTCCCTGTTTCAGGGCGCTGTAATTTTATCAATTTAACCTAAAACTACATTAGGTTTGGGGCCCTTTTCTCAGGTCATAACAGCACCCAGTGCTCCCTTTGCGCTCCCATTGTAAAGAGCACTAGGACAGAAGTTCTTAGCAACGGGTTTCCTTCCCCCGACATTTACCCAGTTCAATCAGGCCCCTGAAATGCAGGAACAAGGCCTCAATACTTAAACTTTCTCCAGATGGGTCCGGAGGAGGGAAAGCAGTTCTCTCCCTCAAAGTGGAGTGTGGGCTAGTCTGAAGGAGGCCGTACTTGCAGGCTGATGGCTCAGGTATCAGTCTCAAACTCCAGTTTAGCTCTGTGGCCATGGTTAAATCATTCTATACTTTTTTCCCCCTAGAGTTTAAGGTAAAAGTGAGATTATTAGTGAAGCAGTGGAACAAAGAATGGGTTACTCCACAGACAAAGCAGTCTGAGCAACCAGTGTCTTGATCTGAAAAATGATAATATTCAATAGCTATTTCATAAGTCTACTGCAAGTTTCCAGTAAGATACTTATGAAAGTAGGACCCTATGCTGTGTTTAATTTTTGTCTATAACTGTCTTGAAACTCTTAATCTTTGAAGGAGGACCTCTGCATTTTCATTTTCTCTGGACCCTGCAAATTATGTAGCTGGTCCTGTCTATGCCCTTGGCCACACCCTTTGACCTCTCGGGGCTCTATAGTCTATAATGAATTGAATTAAATTGTTAGGACAATTCTTATTCCTCCCTCTGCCTATTAGCAAAATTTGACACAGTTGATCATCCCCTCCTCCTTGAAACATTTTTCCTCTTGGCTTCCAAGACACTACACTTATCTGGTTTCCCTCTGCCTCACCTTCTGCTCCTTTGCCATTTTCTGCCTAATCTATTAGCACACCCAGAACGGAGCTCCTGGTCATCTCCTGCAAGCCTGCTTCTCCCAGTCTCTCTCCTCTGTTCATGGTAACTCCACTCTTCCACTTGCTCGGACCACAACCCTTGTCATTATTTTTGACTCTTAATCTCTCACGCCACCTCCAATTTGTAAGCTGCTCCAGAATCTGACCATTTCACCACCACCATCATAATCTAAGTCTCTCTCCTGGATTACTGCAAAACCTAACCCATATGCCTGCTTCCACCTCCTCCATTGTGTTCTCCACACAATTGCCAAAACAATCCTTTAAAAATATAAGCCAGGTCGCCTCACTCCTCTGTTCAAAATCATCCCATGACTATGCATCTCAATCAGAGCAGAAATCCCTACAAGAGGTACCAAGCCACTTCCTCACCCCAGGCCACTTGTCGGTCCCCTCTGCCTGAGCGCCCTACCAGATATCGGTCTGGCTTACCTCTCACCTCTTTCAGTTCTGTTCACCTGCCCCCCATCAGTAAAGCCTTCCCTGGCCTCCTGATTTAAAATAGCAACCGCTGTCAGCTTTCCTCCTTCATTCCCCATCCTGCCATCCCCTGCTCACTTTTCTCCAAAGCATTTATCACCCCCTGATATGTACCATATTGTATTTATTTGCATATTATTTATCTCATTGCGTTGAACTGTAGGCTCTGTATGGACACGGACTTTGTCTTCTAACTGCTATATCTCCAGTACATGGGACAGTGTCAGTGAATGATAGAAAGTTCTGGAACAGATGCTGTTATTACGGTCATTAGGTTGCAGTTGCATCAGTGTCTCTGAGCGTATACGGCCCTTTCACAGGCTGCATGCCCAGGGAGCAGGCCCGGCACACAGGAGTGAGGGTGTTTAGGGGGACACCCATACAGTGGGCTAAGCCTCCCACCAGGGTATACTGTGGAAACAGAGAGGCAAGTCTAAGAGTTTGTGGCCTAGAGGGAGGTTTTGTATATTTATGCAAATAACTTTAGAACAAGGCAGCATTTGTTAAAAATATCCAGCCTTTAATGCCTAACAGCTCACATTCTGGCAATGACTCTAAAGTTTTCTACAGAGAGAAGGGACAATGAGCTACGGCTTGTGAACTTACTGTGTGGCTATTTCCATCCCAGACAAGTTCCTGCTCTGGTCTGCTTATCACACCAGGGACACCTTGCCCAATCTTCCAATCTAGTTTGCTTCAAAGTCCCTCCTTTACAGGCCCTCTCCACCCAATATTGCCTCCCTAATTAACTGCTAAATTGGGACTCCACCCTCTTATAGTCCCTCCACATTCTGCTCCTAGATACAGAGAACATGAGGCAGGGGTGGGATTGACTTAAGAAAGTTGCAATAGGGAATAAAGAATCTAAGTATTTCCTTAGAATAAGATGTATGTATTTCTCTGTGAGCCTACAGTACATAGAACTCAGGGACTACGTCTGTTCATCTTTGTGGCGTGACAGCCTTGCTCAGTATGTGGTAGAGTGGGTATTCAGTAGGTTTGTTGAAATGGGTGTTATAAGCTCTGAGTAAAGATAATACTATTTAAGAAGTCCTTCTACATCTTCTGTAAGGTGCCCCAGAAGTATTCTATAAGGTTATTTTATTGAGCTGTCGTAAGAAACAACCTAACCAGTAAGAACTAAAATATCTCAAATAAAGGCACCACTATTTAACATGCAAATTTTAATTATAAAATTGATGTTATTTTATAATTTTCATGGTTTATTTTAATTCGAATTTGACTTATTTTTCTAAATTTTATTTTATTGATGGTACTGTTACAGTTGTCCTGATTTTTAACCCCGTTGCCCCTCTCCACCCAGGACTGCCCGCCCCCTCAGGCAATTCCCCAGCATTGTTCCCGCCCATGGGTCATGCATATAAGTTCTTTGGCTACTCCATTTCCTATACTGTATTTTACATTCCTGTGTCTATTCTGTAACGACCTATTTGTACTTCTTAATCCCCTCACCTCTTCACCCATTCTCCCTCATCCCCCTCCCATCTGGCAACCATCAAAACGTTCTCCGTATCCATGATTATCTCTGTTCCTCTTGTTTGCTTAGTGTGTTTTTTAGATTCCATTGTTGATAGATATATATTTTTTGCCATTTTTTTGTTTATAGTTTTGATCTTCTTTTTCTTAAATAAGTCCCTTTAACATTTCATATAATAGTGGTTTGATGATGATGAACTCCTTAAGTTTTTTCTTGTTGGGTATGCTCTTTCTCTGCCCTTTGATTCTAAATGATAGCTTTGCTGGGTAGAGGAATCTTGGCTGCAGGTCTCTGCTTTTCATGACATTGAATATTTCTTGCCAATCCCTTTGAGCCTGCAAAGTTCCTTCTGAGAAATTAGCTGATAGTCTTATCAGAATTCCCCTGCAGGTAACTAACTTCTTTTCTCTTGCTGCTTTTAAGATTCTCTCTCTATCTTTAACCTTTGGCATTTTAATCATGATGTGTCATGGAGTAGGCCTCATTGCATCCATCTCGTTTGAGACTCTCTGTGCTTCCTGGACTTGCATGTCTATTTCCTTCACCAAACTAAGGAAGTTTTCTTTCATTATTTTTTTCAATTTCTTGCTCTTTCTCTTCTCCTTCTGGCACCCCTATGATGTTAATATTGGACCTCTTGAAATTGTCCCAGAGGCTGCTTATATTATCCTCATTTTTTTGGATTCTTTTTTCTTCTTGTTTTCTGATTGGTTGTGTTTTGCTTCCTTATGTTCCAAATTATTGATTTGGTTCTTGGTTTCATCCACTCTACTGTTGTTTCCCTGTAAATTGTTCCTTATTTCAATTGCTGTATCTTTCATTTCTGCCTGGGTCTTTTTTATGCTTTTGAGGTCCTCACTAAGTTCCTTGAGCATCCTTATAACCAGTGTTTTGAACTCTGTGTCTGATAGATTGCTTATCTCCTTTTCCTTTACCTTTTTTCTGGAGTTTTGATCTGTTCATTCATTTGGGCCATGTTTCTTTGTCTCCTCATTTTGGCATCCTCCCTGTGTTTGTTTCTCTGTATTAGGTAGAGCTGCTTTGATCACAACTTCTCGCTGCAAAAATCAGCAGGGATTGAATCAGTGGAACAAACTTCTGGAGCCCCCAACAATTCCTCTTAAAGAACCCACACATAGACTCATCTGCTCAGACTCACTCCCTCAGAGCTCCAGCACAGGGGTAGCGGCTTGAAAGGTACCAGTGGTGTACAGGGAGAAAGTGAAGTGTCTACCATCTAGGCGAGCAGAGGCCATTGTCTCTTTTCTAAACCCTCCCCACACAGAGCTGGCAAATTGGTGCCATATCTGAGATTCCATTAACCTGTAGCACTGTTTGACCTGCCCTGGAGATCCTCAGAGACTCCACCCCACCCAATGTACAGGCTCACCCAAGCTGCTTTTCCATGTGAATGGCTGGTCTTGGCTCATGTTTCATAACTTCCTAAATCCTATCTAAGAAGAACCAACTGGCTTCAGTGAGCCCCAGGCCCAGCACTAGCAATAGCCAGCTTAGATTTACAGTTTGGCTTCACCTGGAAATCTCCAAGCCCAGCACAAGTAGCAGCCATCTCAGAGTGCTTTATAGCTCATGCATGATGGCTCCAGGCAAGTCACAGGTGGTGGCTGACCTTAGGCTGCACCATGTGGGAAATTCCATTCCCTACAGGACTCCTTTGAATAGGCACTCCCTGTACTTATCTGAATTTTTAGAGACTTGTGAGAAAGATGAACTGAGAAACTTAAAGCTAAAACAGTAGGATCTGCTTATTAAAAACCATATTAAGTTTTGGTGGTAGGTACGTATGTGTGTGTGTGTGTGTGTGTGTGTGTGTGTGTGTGACATAACTCTCAATACTTTTCAATGTGTATGTCCACAACACACATACATTTTCATACCTAGGCAAGATCAAGCATAAGAAGATAGCCCATTTTATAATCAGTAAGAGGTGCTGCAAGCAATCAGTAAGAAAATTTGGGACAGGTAAATCCTTTCTTAGTTCTTGGTTTCTTTGTATATAAAATAGGGGAAGGGGCTAGATAGTCTCAGGGGCCCTCCCTGTTCTAATGCCTTAAGAGTCTATGGAGCTCTGGTTGGATAGATCAATTGGTTAGGCCAGGTAGGTTAGTTGGTTAAAGCATTGTCCTGGTATGCCAAGGTTCTGGGTTCAATCCCTGGTCAGGGCATATATAAGAAACAACCAATGAATGCATAAATAAGTAAAACAACATATTAATGTCTCTTCTCTTTCTCTCTCTGTAATCAATAAATAAAGTAAAAAATGTGAAAGAGTCTATGGAAGTAGGAGCACCTATTCATATTATAAAGGATCCCTTTTCAAATTTTCTCTTTCTTAAATTCATTTAAACTGTGACTTGGTTTTCTGAAATCTGGCTACTGTGTTTTTATTAGTAGTAAAAGCAGCTAACAATTAAGCAAATTCAACATGTCAGGCACATAAAATGCCTTATACAGATTATTTGATTCAGTCATCCCAACCACCACATGAGGTAGATAATGATATTGTCCCCATGCTGTAGAGAGGTAAAGTGGCTCCATTACTAATTAACTTGCCTAATAGTGTCACTGAGTTAGGGCATGTGGCAACACTGGAATTAAAACTCTCTTCAGGTCAGCCTGTGACTCCAGAACACATTGTTGACACCGTGTCTCCCAGACTGGCTGCAGGTGTCAGGAGGTGTTCGGTGTTCCTTCCTAAGTTGAACAACTGTGGTCCTCTTTTGCCTTCACAAATGGGGTGACTGATGGGAGATGGGGTAATTCCTTTTGCTTCAACTTTATTTCTATGACATAATGTAGTGATATGTTCATTAGGAAATGCTTTTTGACCTTTCCTGGGTGAGTAACAGTGGGCTTCACTGGTTATCTTGATTCAGTTGTAAATGATCAGGTTAGCAGAAAAGAGCCTGAATTTGCTTTGAATTCCTATTTTGGTTCTTTATATCTATATTCTATGTCTATAATAGCATATAGAGCAAGACTTTACATCAGTATGCAATAGATTAAGGTGGGAAGAAAGCCACATGCAGAAAAACAATGTAAGATTAATTTCACATCCGTGTGGCACCCTTGATAATTTTCATATTCATTATTTTCATTTTCACAAGAACTGTGTGAGGTTTGCAAGTCAGGAACTATTTTTACCCACTTTGCAAATAAGGAAAGAGAGCCACAGAAAGGGGTGGGAGACTTGTTCTAGGACATGGATCTGGTTAGATCCTAGACCTAGTGTTCTTTCTGCACTTGTTCTTTCTGCATTATGCCATCTCCATGTGTAACAGAACTTCAGAGACAGGCACTTCTTGGCAGACAAAACCAAATGGCTGCTGAGCCGGAGGCTGTGCCATGCCAGGCTGGGGCCGCGGGGCTCCTGTATAACTAGCAACTGTGGTAGAGCATGAGGACATAGCAGCAGCCATGATCCGTACTCACACCTGTGCAGTGTGATAAAGAAAGCAGAACTAGCCTCCAGCTGTGGTCCAACCAGATAAACTTTTAGGCGGGAAGTCAAGTGACAAGTGAACTTGTATGTGTATGTGTGTGTGTTTTTAAACTGTTGATTGCTTTTGATATTTTTTAAAAAGGCAGCTTGAAGAAGTTAGACCAAATAGCACAAAGGTATTGCAGCAAGATGGATTTGGGAAAGCACCAATCTCATTTGACGCCCCATCAGACATCTGATCTTCATCAAGGAAAGCATCATGTTCCAGGTAATGAAGGAGGCTGTAGCTGTTGGGAAGAACTGGGACTGTGATTATTGTCTTCTTTTTTTATAGAAAAAAAAATGGCATGATTGAGTACATTCATATAACCACAGGCGGGAAGAACAGAGCTGTGTAACTTCCTGAGGTGTCTTCCAGTGCTAAGATTCTAATAAGCCAGAGAAACACAAGGAAATAATAAATAAATTATTAATAAGAAATACATTTAAATGAGAGAGAGTGAAAATGCCCAATCCTGGATGGTTGTGGCAAAACCAGCACACTCGTATACTTCTATGGTAGTGTATGGTAGTGCAAATTTGGTATAACTTTTGGGATATAGCAACAGATAGGAAGAGCTAGAGTGCTTATTCTTCTGGCTCACTGATTTTACTCATTGGGCCTATCCTAAAGCTGCATTTCTCAAAATGTTTTGCAGAATCCTAGAACTTGAGAAAGTGTTTTTATACTTGTTTTGTGCCATGGGTCTCTTTGGCATTTTGATGAACCCCTAAATTCTTCCTTAGAGTAATATTTTAAATACACAAAAGTAAATACATAGGCTTACAAAGGAAACAATTGAGATACACTTGTCAAAATGAAGAACTGTGATATTGTGACATGTGCATATTTATAGATGCATTAAGTACTAATAATCTATTAATAATGATTGTGTGAAGTCAAATATATCGTTGCAAATAAATGGTATTTTAAGGTATCTGGAACAACTGTAATGTTATGTGGAAAGAATACCTATAATTTAGATTAGTGACAAAGTCACGTACTGCTAAAACTACCATGGTATGTTACCTGCATTCATGTTGAAGGAAATGGTAATTTTAACTAGAGATTGGTAGAAAGAAAGGTATAATTTTCCCCCATCCAAGTTCATCATTAACAACTTCTGTCCTAAGAGCCAAAGGTACCATGGTCCAAGGGGCATTCTCTATCTTTTGGGGGTCCCAGTGCAAATTTGCTATCACTCCACAGGTTTTGATAAATTTTACATCAAAGATCCACTCACTTTCCTCAAACATGGATGGAAGCAGAACATTTTTGATGATGGAAGCAGAACAAAAAACATGGAGAAACACTCTCCTATGGGAAAATCTGCCCCCCCCACACACCAAGAAAGCTATATTCATGAGTATGCTTACTATAGATTGATTTACAATGACGAAAAAAAATAAAATAACTGACAACAATCTATATGTTCAATACAAATAGAGTGAATGGGTAAATGAGAATACATCAGCTTGGTTAAATATCATGCATTCATTAAACTTACAATTATGAAGACCAGATCATGGAAATATTTCTGATGTAATTTAATAAATGATAAAACTGTGATATGCTCTCTTTATAATTTTGTGTAATATAAGGAACTAGATGGGTATGAGGAATAAAATGAAAACAGGCTATAATGTTAAGGATGGCAGAACATGGTTGATTTTTTTTCTTTTATATTTGTACAATATATCAAAATTATTTTGAAGAAAATAATAGGTTGGTAACACAGTTACATACAAACACTGACCTTTTCATTTTTAAATGTTTACTTTTTGCTCCTAGGCATTTTTTGGTGGTAGGAGGGTAAATAAGGTAGAGTCCTTGTCCTCAGAAAGTTAGGAGAAAGTCAGCACCCAGCATAGGGTCTCTACCACTTTGCTGTAGGACTCTTGCTGATAAGTGTCACAATTCGTTTATCTCCTATAACTTTCATTTTGATTCTACAGATGTCATTGGAACTTGGAGTTTGCGAAACAGAGAGCAGCTGAGAAAAAGAAAAGCTGAAGCTGAAGAAAAGCAAACTTCACAATGGCAGTTTGGGTATGGTATTCTTGCAAGGGAAAAAGGAACTGGTATTTATCCAGCAAACGCTATGTACTACCGAGTACTACCGAGCACTTTCACGCACTGTATTTTATCGTTCCAGCAATCCTGTAAATCAGGAGCTGCTATCTCTATTTACAAAAAAAAAAAAAAGGAAACTAAGTGTCCAACAGGTTAACTCTCCTGCCTCACTTGGCTAGTAAAGAAAGGCGTGGGAACAGAATTTTATCTCTGGTCTCTTTAATTACAACAACAGGCAATCAAGTTACAGGGTGCAACACAAATAACACCTCTTTTTTTATTACAAAACCTTTTATTACAAAATCATAAGCATGTAATCCTGTAACATAACACTATCACAGTCAAGCATATGGCATTTCAGGTGGAATGTTCAAATTGCTGTCCATCTCGTGTGAGATACTCATGTACCCTACCAACCACACTCAAGCAGGCGTTACTTCTGCCGGATCCTGTGTATTGTAGACAGGCCTGGTGTTCAACCACACTAGTAATAAAAACATAGAAGAACCTTGTCGTTGAGAGTAGGAGACACCATTGAGGAAATCTCTGAGCTTGTATTCCAAGCTTTCTATTAGTAGTCCTTATCAAATGACTGTGGTTAACTCTCCAAGGAGGAAACCAAAACATTGTAAATGAGTGATGTGAGAGGAGAGTTGGGAGTTCCTAAATCTCCAGTCTAAGTCACCTGTCTGTCATCTCAGAGAGGGAGTACAAGAACATGTTGGTAAATTAAGCAGTATTGCACTGCATCCATTTAGAATATGTCTGTGAAAACAGAGGTGCTGCTTGCTGGGAGATAGAAACAGGGAGACCAGGAGCCAAGCAGCGCAGCATCCATTGAAGGCAGGCTTTCAGTACGTCGGCAGGGTGCTTCTTTGTGTCAGAGGCTGTCCTGTGCATTGGGGATATTTAGCAGCATCTCTGGCCAACAGTACTCCTCTCTTCCCCCTAATTGTGACAACCAAAAATGTCAACAGACGTTGTCAAATGTCTCCTGGGGCAGGCAGACGGGGCAAAATTGCCCCCTTTGAGAACCACACATCTAAGCACTCTTCTTAAGAAAGGGCATCTATCCCCGATATGGACTGACTATTGTCTTTTCTGCTACAATACCAGTTAGCGCACATATGATTGATAAATAGGAGAATGACGTATAATGGGTAAGTTGATTTTCCTAGTCAAAGGAAACAGAATAGTGAGAATAGAATTAAAACCTTTAGCAGGAAAGGAAAAAGCCTTCAGCCTGGCTGCTGTACAGGCAGGAGCCTGTTCAGCCTGCATCCAGGACTGTTCCCCAAGAGAAGGGTAGCAGATTGCACTTCCTTCTGCGCCCAACTTCATGGCAGCTCCACTGGCTCAGAGTGCCACCCTGATTTGCATGATCTCTGTACCTGCAAAGCTACATTTACACTCTTGCTTTTGTGCCTTTTTTACTATCCCCTGTGGCAGTCCCCAGTCATGATAAGCTGCCTGTCTGGACTATCAAACTTATCTCAGGTACCAATTACTGTTTTTGCTAGTCTTAAAAAGTTGTACAGGTTTTAAGTTGTTTGCTCCAGCTCTATTTTTTCTCCACAAATACTGTTATTTTTAGTGCACGATTTTTCAGAAAGTGAGGTTTCTCAGGAATGTGTTTATTATGTTTTAGCAGAAATGTCTGTACTTGGGTCCTGTGGCAGATGACTTTGTGGAAGAGTATCCTATTAGCTCCTCTAATTCTGTATTTGCCAAGTAACCTTCTGATCGTTAATTGGCCTCCCAAGTACTTGCTACAAAGAACGAGTGCATTTGTTTGTCAGCCCAAATATTCTTTGCTGTGTGACTTTGCGTTTCTCACCGTTCATTTAAAAGTGGGTTTTTGGTAGATCTCAGAGGGGAGGGGGGTGGGAGGGACTGCAAGAGATTAGCCAAAGAACATATATGCATATATGCATAGCTCATGGACACAGACAACAATGCGGTGAAGTTGGCGGGAGCGGGGTGTGGAAGCCCAGTGGAGGAAGGGAGCAAAGGAGAAGAAAATGGGGAGCATCAGTAATAGTACCAACAATTAAAAAAAGAAGAAGAAAAAACAAATAAAATTTTTTCTCCAAAAAAAAGAAAGGGTCTTTGGGTTTACACATCAGTCTCACTGAGCTGGTTGGTGAGCTCTGCCCCTGATAAATGGAGCTTGTGTTGGCCTGATGATAGAATTGGGTTTCTGTGCTGGCTGGGCTGGGGAGCCAAGGCTGAGGAAGTCATTGAAGTAGATGACACCTTGGTGAACCTCTTGGCAGCTGGCTGGTCTTGCTCTGGTGACACATTTCTATACTACTAAGAACTGTTCTCATTACAGCATACCACACAGTGAAACCTTAGTAGTTGCAGAGAGAAGCAGCAGAGTGTAATGGCTAAGGGCCTGGCCATTAAAGCCGTAACAACCAGATTGGATGCCTGGCTCCCCTACTTGCCAGCCATTTGATCTTAGATGATTTACTCACACTCCCTGGGCCATAGTTTTGTCATCTGCAAAAATGGAGATAATAGCATCCTCCTCATAAACTGATGTGAAGATTATATAACAGAATAAGGAAATCACTTAAAGCAGTGTCTAGTACATAGGAAGCCCTGTAAGCGTTTCCTATATGAATACAAAAGTGCTCCTTTATGTTTGGATAATTCATTCATGCAATTCTCACAACATGTCGGCATAATATGGCCACATGAGGTTGGAGGGGACACCATAAGTCCATTTAACCTATGAAGAAATAGCCTATGACCACAAGTTGATAAATGACAGAATACAGATTAAATTGTAGACCACATAGATATTTTTGTATCTTTTGAAAAACTACCAGGAAGTACATGGAACACTGATTACTCAGATTTCCTCATTTAGAGATCTACACAACAAATTATATAGGGTTTAGTATGTAGGAAAAAATAAGTGTTTCCTAAAGAATTCAAATAATTTGACAATAAGTTTACTTGGAGTTATACTTTAAAGCGATGAGGTGCCATATCACCATTTTTAGATTACCTTCTCTTCCAATTTATTTTTAATATTTTGACTGTCCTTTTACAAATATAGCTTTGTTATATTGACTTTAACCTGGTTTTGGTGAGGCAATCTTTACATTTTTTTATTATGAAAAATTGCAAACATACACAAAATAAGGTATATATACATTTTTAAGGCATGCAAGGAAATATGAGCAACTACAAAGATATAAAAGACACTGCTTTCGTCCTGGTTGGCTGGCTCAGTCGATTGGAGCGTCATCCTGTACACCGAAAGGTTGTGGGTTTGATCCCTGGTCCAGCGCATATGGGAGGCAGCGGATCAGTGGTTTTCCCTCACATTGGTGTCTAACCTCCCTTCCTTCCTTCCTTCCTTCCTTTTCTCTCTCCTCCTCTCCACCACCCTTCCTCTCTATATTAAAGATAAAAGACACTAGTATTATCGCTAAAGAATATCTAGTTTCTGAAATAACTACAGATTGGGGCATCCTCTGTGCCTTGCCTTAAGCATGACCCTCCCAATAAATCATACAGTTGGGTTAAGCAGGGAGAGCATTTCAGCCCTGCGGTCTGGGAGAGAAGGCTCCATGGGGCAGGTAGCATGGGACAGAATTTCAATAGATTTGGAAAAATGAGGAAGTATTTATAGTACCTTTTTCTCCCCCCTACCCTCAAGCCTGTCTGTATTAGCCATCCATATTTGGTTATATTTGCAGTACCTAACCATTTGACATTGGCTGCAATTTCCATGCATAGCCTTTCATTTTGTAGACCTTTAATCCAGCCATTACTTCAGAGTAGGCAGGATATGGCCATGCACGCCTTTCCATCAGGCTTGTTAACCTCAAAAAATGTTTTTTTGCGGCTTTTGGCCCAGCTTGCAGTATATCTCATTTGATGTGTACTATAACTACTTAGCATTCTTTACACAAGACACTGTATTAGAAAAGCAAGCCATAGACATCATCCACCTGTGGGCTACACAGACAAGGAGCGGTTCCTGGACAGAGGATCTTAGAAATGCTATCCAGGGCATAATGGGACTAACTCACCTAGACTAAACCCAGAGAGACCAGTGCATAAACCAGAATGCTCTCAAACACACACACTACACTTCCTGGTGAGCGAGGCATCAGAGACAAAAAAAAAAAAAAGAAAAAGAAAAAAAAGAAAATCCCTGAGGGACATTTCTTGTGACAATTGAGAACATCCACAACTGCTCCTTCATTATGCAAACAAGGAGATTGAGCACCAGAGAGATTAACTGACTTGTTCAAAGATCGTGCAACAAGACAGTGGGAGACACGGACTGTTATTACCAAGCATTTATCTGAACTCTGAATTCTGTAGCCCCAGTGCTGACACTAATTCTGATCTCTCCACAGAGAGAAAAAACACAAGCGACAGAGAACAGGAAATGGAAATCAAAGAGGCAGAAAGAGACAGCACAATATAGAACTGAAGGTGGAGCCTCCATCACAATTAGAAAAGGAAACGAGGGAGAAAACACTACCACCGACAGAGAAAGAAAATGAATTACCTAAGAGTGTAACTGAAGCTCTCCCTCTGGTAGCCTCCCCACAAAGAGTTGTACCTGAGAAAAAATTGTCTGCAACAGGTCAAGAAAGCATTATAGATCATAAAAATTCTTCTGAGTACCAAGAAACAACAGTACAAAACCACCCTTCTGAAATAGGCCAAGATGAGACTGAACCAGAAGACTTCACTCCAAAAATGTGCCAAGAAATAGCTGTAATTCAAGACCATTCTTCTAAAATGTGCCATGATATGGCTGAACCGGAAGACCGCTCTCCTAAAATGTGCCAAGAAATAGCTGTAATTCAAGACCATTCTTCCAAAATGTGCCATGATATGGCTGAACCGGAAGACCGCTCTCCTAAAATGTGCCAAGAAATAGCTGTAATTCAAGACCATTCTTCCAAAATGTGCCATGATATGGCTGAACCCGAAGACCTCTCTCCTAAAATGTGCCAAGAAACACCTGCAGCCAAAGCCCTTCCTTGTAAAACACATGAAGACAGAGTTGACATGGAAGGATGCTTTCTTGAAGCATACCCCCAACCAGATGTGCCTAAAGGCTACGCTCTTGAAACATGCCAAAAAAGAGCTGAACCCAAAGAAGACTCTACTGAACCAGGTGAAGGAATAGCTGGGACTGGAAGCTTTTTTCCTAAAATAAAAGAAATAGCTGTCCCTAAAAACCTTCCTACAAAAATATACCAAGAAACAGATGAACCTGAACACTTTTCTCATATGGCAAATACTAAAGAAATTGCTGTGTCTAAAGCCCTCTCTCGTAACACAATCCAAGAAACACCTGCTCCTGAAGAATGTCCAGCTGATATATACATATACCAAGAAACAGCTGGGCCTGAAGACTGTGCACCTGAAAAACACCAAGAAATGCCTGGGCCTGAAGACCTTTCTACTAAGACATATAAAAATAAGGATGTGCCTCAAGAATGCTTTCCAGAACCAAACCAAGAAGCAGGTGGGCCACAAGGCCAGGATCTTAAAGTACACCAGGAAGGTGCTAAGGATGTTTTTCCTCAAGGTAGGGGTTATTCATAGGGGACAAGTCAATGACATGTTCCCACTTACAATTAGAGCACCAAATAGGTATATCTCCCTCAGAGTGGAGCTTTGTATCCTTTGACAGTCTGAGGTTATCCCCGGTTACCTCAAGGGGTATCATTAATGTCACTGGCTAGTTTTTAATTTAACCAATGTCTGTTTGGCATATTTCCAAAGAATTAAAAGAAAATAACTGAAAATATAAGTGTGTATTGTAGGTACATGTACACACTGTCATTGTGGGGAAGCTTTAGCCAGTGAAGAGAAATGAACCCAATATAGGATGATTGTGTGCAAAATATTTTAAAGGATAATTATGCTTAGATTTATAAGAAAACTTAAATAAAGTTTTTCTTGCAAATTGTAATTTCCCAGCAAACAAAAAGCAACTAAATTCATGGTATAAGCTACCAGGGGAGAAACAAAGGTGTAAAATATGATCCCTGTTACTAGGATTTATCACGTTTACCAGAAACCCTTTCTAATTCAATATTTGTCCCTGAAAAGCTTTCTCCTAAGCATAGCATTTTGAAAATAATGTGACCTTTCTTCAACTCGACTTGCCTCAGGGACATAACTGAGAATCTCGATTCTCTTTGTGCAGCGCTGTGGAGTGTGCACTGTAAGAAAATGGGCTGCGGCTATCCGGCCATTATCTCTAGGGAACTGTTTTCTAAAGAAATCCCTTTGATCATTTATTTGCTCGTTTTTCCTAAAAGTGCGACAAAACCATGGGGTTAGTAGGGTTCCAAGTAAGGTTTTAAGAATCTTTGCCTACCTGCTAGGTTTAAAAAAATCTAATTGTTTTAATTTCTACTTTTTTGATGAGTTATGCTACTTGACATCTTTTCATGATTATTATGAATTTGAATTTCTTCTGTTTGAACCCTTGATTCATTTTAAATTTGGGATATCAATCACTTTTGACTGATTACAAATCTATTTAAGTAAGTTATTAAACCTTTACCTATATATAAATTGTAAGTATTTTTCCAGTTTTTACTTGTGGTTTACCTTTGTTTATAGTGGTTTATAGTGCCATGTATATGACAAAATTTTAATTTTAGTTTTTAGTAGTTCAAACCTGCCTTTTTCTTCATGATTTCTGCTCTGTGTTCTGCTTAGAAAGCCCTTTATAAACCTAAGGTTATAGGAACATTCTATTGTTTCCACAATACTTATGGTAATTTTAATATTTAAATCTTTAATTAATCTGAAATTTGTTTTTGCACAAGGTGTGAGGTAGGGTTTTTTTCTCCAAATGGATAGTGAATTGTCCCAATACCGTTTATTCAACCTGTTTTTGTATTTTGTTTGATTTTACAGAAGTGAAAGAAAAGTCCAAAGCACAAGATTCAGAGATACCAGCAATTCCAAATGTTCCTCAAGAGATTAATCCAGAAAATGATGTCTATAGTTATGTTTTGTTTTAACAATGCTCAGCCATCACAGTTTTGCAACAAAATATACATTTTGTTACATGGGATTTTTCTCAAATTATTGTAGATATATCTACAATAGTCATTAATATTTGAATAGTGTTTTCTTCCATGTATAGACCATATCTGAAGGAGAGAACTAATGTGTGTTATCAGGCTCAGCCACATAGATAATATCCTGCCGCGTGTGTGTGCATGTGTGTATGTGTATGTGCATGTATTTGGGGTGAGTTTAATGATGGGGAGACTCAAAAATGGGAAGGGGAAGGCTTAATAATATCCCCCATTAGCAAGCATTTCTTTGATTATTTCTTAAGAGCAAAAAAATTAGTAAGTCTGAACACTTAAAATTTGGATAAGTATATAGTTTTCTTGTAAACTTTATTCAACTATTAATGTAATAATAGCATCAAAATTTTATTCAGGTTTTGGTTGGCTTTCTAGTTTATTTGAACAATTCTTGTCATTCTGGGACTCCTTCAAAGATATTTTGGAGTGTTGAATGTAGTTTGAGTTTTGATTTTCTAGTTTTACTTTTTGTATATTGTATTTGTGCAAAATGTACATTAAATCATTATTACATGCTTAATTGTGTGGGCCACATCATGGTAAGCATTTTGAGGGTTAGAAGACCTATAACATAGTCCTTGTTGACTAGGGGTTTAATTTAGTCTTATGGGGAAATAAAACAGAAAACAAACAATAACAAAATAGTAAATGCTAGTGCCATTTGAACAGTAGATACAATACAGGGAATGCTTACTTTTTGCTGAGTGACCTGAAAAAAATTACACACGAATGGAACCTTGAAAGATGGAGAGGATCTGCATTATAAGTGAGGATAACAGCATTATTATTGTCTGTGACACAGAAGAGTGAATTCAAACATTCAAGATGTTCAGTTAATGCAGGGTCCATGTGGAATAGCAGTCTCATAAGCTGAAAATCTTGTATTGTTGGAGTGTACATAGTTTTGTAGTATTTCACGTATTTGTTGGGGAATGGGGAACTAAGTAAGACTTTAGGACAATGAAGTAGCAGTTTTAGAATTTTAGGAATATTTATCAGGTGATAAGGGTCAGTATTAACTAAAAATGAGCAGAGATTGGGGGCAGGAGCAGAAACTATTCTAGGTGGAAAGAGGTCTGAAAATCTCCTGGTATATTTTGTGTGCATGTGGGGGGGATTGTTTCAGTTTTCCTTCTGTTGTAACAGAGGACTCAAAGGAGATTTCTACAAATAAAATTTGGTTCAGCAAGAACACAACTGCACAAGCTCTCCATGTAGGCATTGTGCTAGGTTCTAGGCTACAGCAAAGAACAAGACAATCCCTCTCATGCATTCATGGTGTAGAACAGTGGTTCTCAACCCTTGTGGTATATTACAACCACTGGGGAAAATTTCAAAATTACAGATGCTCAGATACCTCCCCGGGGCTTCTATTCCCATAACTAGGGTGACATCCAGACATAGGTATATTTATTTATTTTTTAAAGATTTTATTTATTTTTAGAGAGAGGAGAAGGGAGGGAGGAAGAGAGGGAGAGAAATATCAATTGGATTCCTCTCACAAACCCCCAAATAGGGACCTGGCCTGCGACCTAGGCATGTGCCCTGACTGGGAACCAAACTGACAAACTTCCTGTTCGCAGGCCGGCCCTCAATCCACTAAGCCACACCAGACAGGGCAGGTATATTTAATTACTTTTTATTTAAATAACTTTTGAGGAATAATTTTAGAATTCTAGAAAAATAAAGATAGTACAGATGTTCCTGTATACCTCTCACCCAGTTTGCCCTAATTTAATGTTTTACATAACCATGGTCCATTTGTCCAAACCTAAGAAATTAAGATTGTTACATTACCATTAAGCGAACCACAGATATTATTTAGATTTCATTAGTTTTTCTAATGTTCTTTTTCTGCTTCTAATCTAGGATACAGCATTGCATAGGGTATTTTAACAGCTCTCCAGATTATTCTAATGTGCTGCTAGAGCTAGGGTTGAAGACCATTAGTAGAGTGGGTTACAATGCTATTTCCCTCACCTCTGCCCACAAACTAAAATTCTGTCCTCCCAAGGATACATTAATTGCACAATAATTACTCATACCCCATTATATTACTCAAGTAACATTGAAGGCAGCATATCATATCACATGATAGTTTTTTATATCTGGATGGCACTTCAGAATTTATACTTTCAACATACTCTTTAATTTGACCTGTGCAAGAGTCTGAAACAGGCTGGGCAATGATTATCAACCCACTTTACAGATGAGGGAATAATCTCAAGAGAGGCTGGGCCATTCACCCAAAGTCACATGTAACTTCCTTAGTGCTTTTCGTAATGGTGCTCAATATTTGGATATTTTGTCTCAATTTTCCCTGCCAGAGTGGTCAAGATTAGAGAAAAAGGAGTGAACTGAAATCTCAAGTTTTATCTAGCCTTGCTTTAAGATGAATCTTAAGAGATTTCCTTGTATACAATGTACAGGGGAACAAGGATGGGACAGGAGGAAGCATGAGGCATTTAGTGCATTGGAGAAAGCAGGGGTGGGCGGGGGGCGGGGGGGGGGGGTGGAGGGGATCTTCTCTTCCCACATTTTAGGACCCATTTTGCCTGCCCTCTTTAGCCTACTCCCTGTATATACACAACCTCTGCTTCTTTTACTCTTCTCCTTCAAACACCAGTGAGCACCTAGATATTTTCCTGGGTTTTTTTTTCTTCTTGGCTTAGAACCTTAGGCCACAGTCAGAATTTAAGTTTTTTAAGAACCTATCTAGCCCTTCCTTGTGCTGCCCTCCTCTCATGGTAAGTACAATGGTTGTTCTGAGAAAAAAAAAAAAAAAGAAAGAAAAGAAAACCAAAACCAAAACCAAAAACCATGAGCCCTATATTATTAAATCTAACATGATGCATGAGAAGGTCTAAAATTTGATTTCCAAAGGGATCCTCCGTTCAAATGAAAGATTGAGTCATTATACTGAGAAGTGTTTTTCAACGTGCAGGCTGATGACCACCTGTATTAGAATCATTTAGGTTATTTTTTTAGGCAGATTCCTAGGTTCTACTTCCGGAGAAAGGGTTGTCTTACAAACTACACATAATCATATATATAACTCTAGACAGGATAAATTAAACCTCAAACCATGTATTAAAAGTGTTACATATTTAAGTTCTTATTTTACATCTAGAGAATTTTTACCTTTAAAAGGGGTAGCAATCTACTCGATCAGTGTCTCCAAGGCTGCTTTGCATTTCAGTACTTGTCACACTTGGAAATTAATGTATTTTTTGTGTGTGATTTTCATAAGATCTTTGGCCAGGAAGGCAAATGCCTCTTTTTCCACACTATTCTGTCCACGAATTAAGATCGTCACTTTCCACAGCACCACCATCTAGTGGCAAATACAGCTATTACTACCCCAGTTTTGCAATGTGTCTATAGTTCTGCGATTCTCAAACATGTTTCTTCAGCTACACAGAGCTGTTTCCAACATGAAATAGAATAGCACTATTTTCCAAATTTTCATGTGGAAAAGACCTATCAGAGGACATGTATGTGGATTTGATCAAATTTTAAAGTGCTTGCAAACAAACAAACAAAACAAACCCACAACGTTCTTTAAATCGTCGGCTCTTTCTGCTGGTTGCCTTCTGCTAGTGATCTATTAGTCCTTGACAAATGAACAAATTTCTTTATTTTTTGTGTTTGTTAAGCTTTTAAATCTGTGGACTTCATGCTTTTGAATGATTTATATTGTAGGCAATATGTCTCCTCCTCCCACCCCCACCAGCATGTGAACCAACAGGATAAAAAGCTCAGAAACAGAATTATGCAAACAGAGAAACTTAAAATAGGAAAATAGGTGAGGGATGACGTCACAGTTAAGTGGGTAAAAGGATAGGCTATCCGTGCACGGATAACTGGTCATTGCATGGAATGAAAAAAGGATTCTTGTTGGTTTTCAACTTTTCAGAGGTGCCTTGTAACGACAACAATCCCTCCAATGTAAATGGCATGCTGACTCAATTTCATTCTCATTTTAGTTCCTTTGAGGTAAGGAGCACGAGAAACAATACCCACTTCTTAATTCCTAATCCGGTACGGCGCTCCCCATCCATTTTATTTGAAATAAAGTTTAATTGACTTCCTTCCTGACAAATCATCATTCTTATTAAGGAAAAAAAAAAATGGGCGCATACATACAAGTATAAACGTATGGATATTGTCACCACCCAAAGAGAATTTTAAATATTTCCTAACGTCCGATCATTTTATGTGGTGATTGCACATACACAATCTCTTTCTTTAAAAGTTAGCGTCATGTGTTGGGTACGTAGGTTGCTTATTTGGACACCGACATCTTTTAAATCTTCATTAATGTGCTCCCCATCCTTTGGAAAGCGCGGGAACATGGGAGTTACTGACTGCCCTGAAATGGGTGGCAGCTGCAGTGAATCTACGTGAGAAAACTGACGGAAGAGTTGGAGAGGGGAACAGAAGCAAACATACGCCTCCATGCCGTAACAATGATCTCCGGACTCGCTGCTTGCGCACAGGGGGCGCGCGCCACGCTCTCCGCGCTAGCGCCTGATAACTGGCACCACCCTGCCGTTTTAGCTACTGCGCATGCGCCAGGCATGGTGACAGGAAGCGGAAGGCTAGCACGAAACGGGTGGGTGCTTCTGTGATCGGTAGCCATGCGCAGCTGGGAGGAACCAGGGCCTCGCCCCACAGCGACCCCGTGCGGGTGCGTCAAGCCGGCTCTGGAGACAGGTAACCTGTGAAAGGCTGGCCTTTTCGCACTCGAAAGAGGTCTAGGTGTGGGTAGCCCACTTCACTTCCGAGAGGCACGTGAAATGTGAGACCTTGAACTGACGTGTGGTACTATACTTATTGCGAAGGCATGAGTCACGTGTTCGGTGGACCACGTGACGTCTGAATCGGGCGGGATGACGTCATGTCACGTTTCTTGGTGGCTCAGGTCAGCCTGGTTTTGGTTTGGTGGCTGTGACAGCCACGTCCAGTGTAACGGGCTTTTTCTCTTTCCTTCATATGGGAAAGATAAGATATATACCGCTGGTGTTAGGCGGTTTAGGGGCTTATAAATGCCACAAGCGAGAAGCATCCTGTGTTCTAGGAAGTGGGGAAGGCACGGGGAGAGGTCAGGGGAGGAAATAGTTTTAAACTGGGCCCGAAGGTATGGAAATGAGTGTGCTTCTCTTTATTTCACCTTTTTATGTAGAGCAAAATACATTCACTTTAGAAACTAGAGGAAGCAATTGGAAGAAAAAGTAGTCCACCATCACCCAGATAAAACCATGTTAATATCTTTATTTCCACCTTCCATACTTGTTTTAGTGCATACACCGTAGAAATATGATTTGATGTGTGATCCCACTCTTAGCAAACTTGTTTTTTTTAAATCTTAAGATTCTATAAAAATCCATGGCAATTAATAATTTTAATTTTAAGGGGTCGCACTATTTTGTTTTATAGATGTCGTCTAACTTAACACGTTCCCTATTTTGGGGCATTTAGGTTATTGCCAGTTTTCATTGTTTTAAATGAAAGGTCTTGAAACGAAAATCTTTGTGCATGTTCTAAATATTTGCCTTAAATTTTCCAAAAGTACTGTTATCTAGTCAAAGTTTGCGCTCCTTTTTAAAAGAATTGTTGCACGCTGCCAGATTACAAGTGATATTTTGACAGGCAGGAAAGGGTGTGGCTCAGAGGTCTACAGAGCATGGTGTTAGGGAGCTGTAAAATCGGGAAGTATTAGAAGATGGAACAGAGAGGTTTGGGAAACCTTGATTGGATTCAGATTGTAGAAAACCTGGACGCTAGGCTAAGAAATGTGCCATCTGTTAGCAGTGAGAAACATGGAAAGTTAGAGAGTAGCATGACATAAGGAACTCAAGAGTCTGGTGGATTAGGGTAGTGTGTTTTGAGGAGGGGAGGGACTGGCAGAGGGGAGGCAAAGTATAACAAGGGAAATTTAATAGTCTAGGCAAGAGGTGGAAAGGACTGAACTTTTCTGTCTGCACAAGACTTGTAAATAAACCTTATATACAAAAACCTCTACATTAATACCTTGTTGTTTTTTTTCTTATTACACATTTAATACAGTTGTAATATTATTAAAAGGCAGGAGAAGCCTGAGCAAGGGCTTTAGTAAATGCACCTTGCTAAGCACCTTCTGTTGTACTGAGTGCTTTACATGTTTTAGTAATCTTATAACTTTCCAATATAGGTATTATTGTCCTGGTTTTATAGCTGAGAAAACTGGAGTTCAGAGGGATAAGCAGTTTTGCCCTAGGTCACACAGGTAGTGTAATGGCCCTGTGTTGTTTTTGTCCTTTTTCTCTTCTGATACCAGCCCTAAGCCTCCCATGTAACTTTAGGGACTCACTTCACCCCATTTCCATGCAGTTCCCATGCGGTACCACCCTGGCATACCTGTGTTTATCCCTATCCTGCATGTAAAGCAGTTTGATTTAATTTTGACTGTCCATCTCTGTTAATACACTGGACATCCTTGAGGGCGAGAACTGCTTCTTATTTATATCTGCACCCAGGCACTTAGCACAGACCTTATATCAGATGGTAAGTATTTAATGTTTTGTTAGTTTGCTTGTTTTGAGTTGTGAGGCAAGAGGAAGGAGATTAGGAACCCCCTGGGTGGATGTTCTCAGACCTCCACTTCAAGTAGAGCATTCAAGTAGCATTTATATTTGGAAAGTATTGAGCATTTGTATTTCATAGCATTTATATAATCCCAAGAACAGGGCACAGAGAATGTATAAATAAATTCCAGAGGGTTCAGACATATTAGAATATGGTTAAGTTCCCACTAGGATGTGCTGACACTTGGTTACAAATTTTTAAGAGTGGTGTCGTTGAGGGGCTGCCACAACATACCTCTTGAGTATTTTAGTTTGTTGCTAACCCAGGGGTTATCTTGCTTATATTCTAAGTAGACATGCAAAAGAGGAGTGGAATGCATCTAATTGGTTACAATTTATATTTATCATAACACGTGCGTAACCTGTGAAAAACAGGTATAGACTGAATCAGTGAAGTGGTAGCTCAGTTAGCTATAAACTTATAGGCCCCCAGTCAGATAGTCAAGGGCAGAAGTTTTTGATCATAACTGCAAGTAGACATTTCCCACAATAATGAAACATGTTGTGAATTTCTCCTCAGCATCCTGTTAACTTGTGATAGAAGTTCTTGTTTTGTATCTTTTCCCCCAAACTTAGCACAATGTCAGGCAATTGTAGATGCTTGGAAAGTGTTTGTTAAACAAATGAAAAGAGAACACAGGGATCCCAGCTGATTAGATTAGGAGTCCTTTTCACCATTTTTCTTCATGACACTTTAACGAACACCAGAGAATTGTTTGACCTCAGTTTCTTCATCTTTAAGATATTTACTATGTCTGTTCCACAGAGCATAGATGAGGGAAAAAAATGCCTGCAGCCATACTTGGAAAAAATTTAAAGTCATCAAAAAAAAATACACAATATATATGAATCTTAGAATCATAATACTGAGAAGGAGAAAGCAAGTCTGAGAAGATAACGTACAGTTTTAAGCCAGTTTTTATAGCTCTTGAAGGCAAAATAAATGAAGTATCGTTTAGTTATGCATATGCATCTGATAAAATCATATTTAAAAAGGAAGTGAATGATAAAGACCACAATCAGGCTCCCGTTTTTTGCAAGGGGAAAGGAGGGGTGTGGAGTAGGAGAGAAGCAACATAAAAAGATGTGAGTGGTTGGTAAAAGCTCAGGTTCTTGGCCTGGGTGGTAAGTACACAGGATTGCATTATAATGTGATATTTTATTACTTACATATGTGTTGTATATATTTTATGTCCCAATTAACTTTGTTTTTAAAGTGAAAAGTAATGAAAGGTGCTGTGAGGGACAGCTCCAGGCCTACAGCTTTACCACCTGTGGCGGCAGCATAGACCTCATGGAAGCCTGCAATAAGATGAGAGTCACTCTAGAACATCTTTAGATCATGTCTTAAAAGAAGTTAATGCCTTCATGAACTGTGGGGAAAAAAAGTTTATGCATTCAAAATGGTAGTTGTGGATACCTTGGACTTTAAGCCTATTCCGTGCTGCCTTGCCAATATTTCCTTCTTTTAAAAGAAGTTACTGCTTTTTAAAATTTTTTAAAAATGACTTGTGATAATTGAAAATTTTCAAATATTATAGAAATTACAAAGTTAAACGTAGAAGTACTCCAGATCTCTCTCCAGCTATTTTAACCAGTGTTAACACTTGGTGAATATCCTTCCAGATAGCTTTCTTGATATATGTACATATTCAGATAGATAAATATAAAAACATTTTCATAAATAGGATTATGTTATACATATTTCTCTTTTGCCACTTTCCATTTTAATCACTTAAGACTTACATAATCCTTTCACGATGCAACGTGAATTTTTTGAGTACCTACTCCCTTGCAGGCAAGTAGTACTAGACAATAAGAACATAGGAATAAACAAAACAGAAAATCTCCTGCCCACATGGCGCTTACGTTCTAGAGGGGCAGAGAGTGACTAGGCCCACCCTAACATGAAGTCTACCCTTCCTGTAGGTATTTTAGTAGTATGATTCCATGCATTCAACTTAATTGTTTAATTAAAGTAGTTTATGTCATATGTTGTTTTCAACTGAAAGCATCTTTACTTAAATACAACCACTGTCTCCTTTCCACTATTCATTGCCTTGTGTTTCACACTTCAGCCAATCAAGATAGCTCATTCCCTGAATAACCAATAATTCTTATTTAGCTTTGTTCATGTTATTCTCTCTATTTGAAATACCCTCTTAGCCCTGACCAAAGTCAGTGATGGTAGCATGGAATTTGAACTATGGTCATAGTAGTTCTTCTAACAATGTTCTTTTCCTTTCCTTCTTTATTTCTTAGACTTGTGCTCTTTCTGGTATATCATCTAAAGGGATATAACAATGTGTATATAATGATCAGGATATTTGTATATATTCATGAATACTGTAAGAATCATGTTCTATAGTTGTAGAACACCTAGTAGATTTTAAAACTATGAAATCGCTGCATTAAAAAAAAAAAGTTTTCCAACATCTTCAGTGACCTTTTGACTAATGATTTCTTATCTAATTTTCTTATGTAGGGAATCTTTTAACTGAGCCAATTGGCTACTTGGAATCCTGTTTCTCAGCCAAGAATGGTACTCCAAGGCAGCCATCCATTTGTAGCCATTCAAGGGCTTGTTTGAGAATTAGAAAGAGCATCTTTAATAATCCTGAACATTCCTTGATGGGCTTAGAACAGTTTTCTCATGTATGGTAAGTTGTTGTATAGTTAGAAGTGGTACTTTGGGTCAGATCTTGCCCGTGAGTTAAAAGTCTTCCAGATGATATGCATCCACTGATGGAGGAAACCTCGGAGCCTGCCATCCAGACCACCCTTGGCTATTGCATGAAATTCCTATACTGTATTTGTGTATGTAATTGGCTTGGACTCCCTGTGGGAAGCTCGGGATTCACTACAGGGGCATGGCCCATTTACAGTTGGTTCTAATTGTGATCAATGCCTGTCTGTTGAGCCTAAATCTGTAGACCTTCTTGATTCTGTCTATGGGTAGTCATTCTGTCCTCTACACCAGGAGTCAGCAAGCTATGGCCCATGGACCAAATCCATGTCACTTGTTTTTGTAAATAAGTTTATGGGAATAGCCACATGCATTTGTTAATGTGTTACAGCAACGTTGAATAGTTACAGCAGAAACTGGTTGGCCTGCAAACCCTAAAATATTTACTGTCTGACCCGTTACAGAAAAAGTTTGTGGACCTTGCCCAAGACCCATCAAGAATTAAGTCTACTCATCCTAAAAGACAAAAGATATCTTAGAAATCTGGATACTTTAAATAAAGTGTTACCTATGTTAAAGCCTGTGTTATATTAATGTCACTTGAAATTCTGTCCATCCTTCCTCACCCCAACATCAGCCATCTGAATTGGTCTAATTTTACTGGTGAAGACCTAAAATTAAGTGTTCATTCTGAAATAGTTATTTTTTATGTTAATCTGGGAAAATGTGTAGACTAGAAAGAACGTGGGAGTTCTGACCTAGTTTGTATGATCTTGGTTGAATTATTTAAGTTAAAAACATTGCTGAGGCCCTGGCTGGGTAGCTGAGTTGGTTAGAGCATTATCCTGATACGGCAAGGTTGTGGGTTTGATCCTCAGTCAAGGCATATACAAGAATCAACCAATAAATAAGTGGAACGACAAATCAATGTTTCTATCTCTCTAAAAAAAAAAAATTGACGAAACAAAACAAACATTGCTGATGTAAAAAAATGGACTCAGGAGAATATAGACTTTTTTTCTTATCCCTCCTGTTTTTCTCCTCTTTCATCCCCACCCCCTGATGCTTTTCAGAGATTATAGCTCAGTGTATATACTGCCACAACTTTTCTTTTTGTTTTTTTATACACATAGAAGCATAAATCTACACATACAGAGTGGATTTTTTTTTAGCGGAATATGTTTTCTTGGTATAGATCACGTCAGTACATATAGATTTACTTTTTTTGCTTTAATGTCTGCCTATTATTGCAATTCACTTGTTGATGGAGACTTATTTTGCTATTAGGTCATTGCTGTAACAACCTCCCTTAGATACATATTCTTGGGCAATTGTATATTTTTATGAATAGGACACCAGAAGTGGCTGTATTGGGTTATATTTTGGAGCACTCCTGCCAAATTGCCCTCTAAAAAGCTTAACAAGATTGTATCTCAAAGGTATGTGAAAATGTCCTTTTTTTCTACACCCTTGCCAACACTGTATGTTATTTTTTTACATTTTTGCTTGACAGGGAAAAATAGTATTTTGTTTTTGAGTTTAACTTCTTAATTATTAATGAGGTTCAACATCTTTTCATGTGGTTGTTAGCTATTTCTATTCCTTTTGCGAATTACCTATTTATGTTCTTTGTTTAGTTTCCTATATTGCGTTGTCCTTTACTTCGTGATTTGTAGGAACAGCTTATATACCACAAATAGTGACCCATTGTCTGTTCTATACACAGTAAACATTTTCTCCTGGGATGACATTTTGTAGTATGTAACTTTAATGATTTCAAATTTGTTATTGTTTTTCTTCATAGATTCTTGCTTTTATTTATTTATTTAATACTCAACCAGAGACTTTTTTTTTTCATTGCTTTTAGAGAGAGAGAAAGGGAAAGAGAGGGAGAGACATTTATGTGAGAGAGAAACATGGACTAGCTGCCTTCTCAGAAGTGCTCTGACTGGGGACTGAACTCACAACATGGGTATGTCCCCTAACCGGGAATCAAACCCATGACCCTTTCGTCTACGGGATGATGCTCCAACCAAATGAGCCACACTGGCCAGGGCCTTACTTTTGATCTTGTGTAGAAAGGCCTAGTCAAATTATTTAACATTTCTGAACCTCAATTAAAATGGGGGATAAATTATACTTCTTAAGGTTCTTAAGCAGATTAAATGAAGTGAATATAAAAATGTCTAGCATACTGCCTGGTGTATACAGGCACTTACCTAGTAAATATTGTTCATTCAGGCACTGGATAAATGTGTTGAATTCTTACTGTGTGCCAGTCATTGTATGTATAAGATAAAGACCGTCTTCCTTCAAGAAATGGGAATGGTGTTATTTTCACGGATTACATTTTAATACCATTTAAAAGCATTTCTTTCTGCTTTAATTTGTGGGGATTAAAGTCCCCCCACCCCTGCAAGTCATTATGATAAATTTGTGATATTTGTTCTTACTCAGTGGTTTGGTTTCTTTTCAATAGGATCTTGTTTGTTTTTCACAAAAATGGTCATTTGAGCTGTAAGGCAAAAGTGCAGCCTCCGCGGCTGAATGGTGCAAAGACTGGAGTTTTCGCCACAAGGAGCCCACATCGCCCCAATGCAATAGGACTGACCCTGGCCAAGCTGGAAAAAGTAGACGGTAACACATGTCATTTCTACTTTTACCTTTTTTTCCTTAATAACAAGTCTTATAAAATGAACATAGTGTTCAGCCCTGGCTGTGATTCAGACAAGTATCAGTGGTGTTAAGCTCTGAGAACCACCAGACATTGAAGAAAATGAAATGAACAAATGTTAGCATTGCAACCCTTTGATACGAGCTGTCAGAGGATGCTCAGAACTTGTTTATATTGTTAAATTTATCAAAATTTTAAATTATTTAAAAATAAATTTTAAGATTTCATAATCATCAAATTAGTAACCAAATTTTCTTACACTTAGAATGCAATAAATACAAAATGATTAAAAAGTAATTGGACACTTTGTCAATTTACCACACAGTAACTGGTTGTACACGCATATGTGGGAAGCACATGGGGTAATGTATCGTGTCCTTTTTGCAGCCTTGAGGAAGTGACCATGCATTGTGGCTGCAGTGCACCTGTCAAGTGTAACGTGTGGCAGAGGGTCTGGCGTGAATCACACTACAGGACAGACCATCTGTCCGCTTGTGGAAGTGCCTGTGTAGAATACCGGATCGGTTTAACTCTGAGCTCGTGTATAACCTAGTTACTGAGCCACACCTCTTTGGAAAGCAAGAATCCCTGACTTGAATCACTCTGACCTAATCAACACTTTTGTTAGAGAAGCAGAAAATGAAACAGCAGGTAGACTGGGAGTCAGAAAACCATTCCAGGCTTTAGCCTGATTTTTTGTCTAGTGTGCAAAGACGAAGGATCTGCCCTCTCTGGAACTCTGCATGATTTTTTTTGAGGAGCTTACGAGGCAAAAGCTCGAAGAGTACTTTTCAGACTGTTGGGTGCTAAAAAGATGAGAGCAGTTATTTTGCTTGTAGTTTTCTAGAACTTGAACTCTGCTGCTGGATTGTATGTAACTGGGCCTTGAGTAGGTTTTCTGAAAAAAATTCTGTAACCTGTCCAACTTGAGTTTTATCAATTTCTGATGGCTAACTAACTTGGGTAGACAGTACTAGAACATTTTATGATCATTCATACAACCCACACATATTTCCTAAGCACTGAATATGTGCCAAGCATTGTTCTCGGTGCTAGGGATGTAGTGGTAAACAAATTAGATAAAAATCCGTCCTGTACAGAAGAACTTAACATTCTAATGGGGGAGATCAAATCAGAAAGGTGAAAGGCAAGGACAGTAGTACCATAGATGCTCGTATTCAATAAGCATAACATTATTGCGACAGCTAGTGTTTATGTAGTATAGTTTCTAAAGACCGCTCATATGTGTTCTCTCACAGTTGCTCTGTGGGTTTGATAAGGTAGCAGTCTCCATTTTATGGATGAGGTCACTAATGTTCTTTGATGTTAGATAATTTATCTAATAGCATCTAACCAGGGGGTTGTCTGACTCCAAACCCCATGAACTCTTATCGATACTATGGTGTATTTTCTTTCCTCTGTGGCCATTGTTAGGCATAATCAGTTAAACACGCAAATCATCTTTCCAGAGTTCCAGATTCATTCACAGTAAACATAATTTTAGAAAGCAAAGTCCTTTGTTAGTCGTGTTTTTCTTAAATGAAGACAGAATTGAATGAGATCACATGCAGTTTTATGATTCTCATTTGCCCAATTTTCCAAGGATCAAATTAGTACACTTTGCACCAGTAGTAGGAACTGGATAGCAGCTGTGTAAATGAGAAAACAGGAGACCTGTTCTTAATACTTGGTAATGCTGACTTGTGTTCTGCTTAATGGAGTCTTGGTGAAGTATTATATTTCAATTGCTGCATAACAAATTAATTTTGCACTTACCAGTTTAAACAACATGGATTTATTATGCACTTGAAACATTGTTATATTTTTGTGGGTCAGGAGCTGGGTTCTCTAAGGGTCTCACTAGGTTGCAAGTATATTGTCAGCTGGGATGAGTTCTTATCTGGAGGCTTGACTGTGGAAGAATTCACTTCCAAGCTCACCGTTGGCAGAATTCACTTCCTTCTAGCTGTGGGAGAGAGGGCCCCAGCTTTTTGCTGGTTGTTGGCTCATGCACTGCCTGTAGTTCCTTGCCACATGGGCTTTCTCTGTGTGGCTGCTTACTTCATCAAGCCCATGGAGAGTGTCTCTTGATTAAGTCTGCCAGCAAGTACAGGAATCTTAGACAACATAGTCACTGGGGTGATACCAAGTCACACTCAAGAGGATGTGATTGTACAGCGCCATGAACACCAGGAGGTGGACACCATGGGGGACACCTTAAAGTCTGTTTGCCACAATGGAAACCCTCCTTGGTCCCACAGGGATACACTGAGGACACTGATGTGCCTGCAACAGAGTTAGAAGCCCCAGTGATGCAAAGATGAGTCAGCCCCACCTAGTGCTGAAGGGCATTAAGTGCTCACTGTCTAGGGAAAGAGAGACCCTAAGCAGATCATTTGCAGACCACATAAAAAGGTTCTAGGAGAGGTTTGTATACAGGTTCCTCTGGAACCCAAAGGAAGGAACACCTAGTCTGGAAGAGCCAGAAGGACTTTGTAGAAGAGGTGTTATGTGAGAGCCTTGAAGAGCAAGTAGGAGTTTGACAGGTACAGAAGAGAGTGGATTACCAGTGTGTGTCAGCAGCAGGTGTAAGAGAGCCTGGTACATAAGAGAACTGACTAAGCCTGGTGAGGCATAGGTAGTTAATGTTGGTTCTCCAACTGTTCGCACTATTTCTAAGAGGTATTTTTTACCTTACAGGTGGAGCTGTATACCTGTCTGGAATTGACATGATTCACGGCACACCTGTACTGGACATAAAGCCCTACATAGCTGATTATGACTCGCCACAAAATTTGATTGAGCCTTTAGGGGACTGTGATTTACAGAGTAACGAATGTAATCCAAAAGCCGTGTCCTGGTCTGATGGCAACACTGACAGCTGCGCGCAGCAGCAGCAGATCTCAGGGTGCGAGGAACCACAATCCTGCAGTCGCACTAAGGAGACACCTAAAAGTGCCGAAGACGGAACTTCAGGAGAAAACAGCATGCAACACATTGACGCAGCCAAAATCCAGCAAAGCTCACCTAAGCACAGGGAGATAGCAGCAGACTTGGGTTTAGACTGTAGAAGTGGTCAGACACTGAGTGTGGCAGAGCAGCAAATTGGTGCACATCGCCCGGAGAAGAGCTCTTCAGACGAGGGTACAGATAAGAGGCCAAGGAGAAGGAAAGAAGTAGTGGTCCCACAGGAAAAGGGTGTGGAGGTGCAGGCCGTGGCTCCTCCCTGCCCCTCTGTGAAGGCCGGCGCAGCCCCCCGCAGTGTGGTTCCCTCCTGGGTGCGAGAGGCCCCCGTGGCCGTTTTGCAAGTCCGGTTTACTCCTCACGCCGAGATGGACCTTGAACACCTCGGTTCAGAAGGTGAACCACATATTTTGCATTTCTTATTTTTGAATGAGATGAGCTTTTAGTAGGAGATTTAGCCACATTTGGCATTTCTGAGGGCAGAGTCTTTTAATACAGAAATTGTCCCCATAAAGTCCCAGCACTAGAGACATGTACTTTATTGCACAAGAGAGGCCACAGGGCTTTTACTTGAAGCCTGTTTAACACATGCTTCTTAAAAAACATCATTATCTGATTTCTCTAGCTCACAGCAGATCCCAAGCGGCCATGTAGAATGAATGACAGGGCTTTTAAGAGGTGGGCGCAGTGGTTCTGTAAGAAGTAGCCAGTCGTGGAGGAGATGTCAGATTTCATTGGCCACTGGACGGTTGTGCTTCTCATTCTTTCCTAAAGCTTTATGTTTAAGCAGAGCATTTGATTTTTATTGACCTCTTTATTTAAAAAGTTTTGTTTGTGAATGTTGTTTTAGCCCTCTCTGTGGTTGATAGGAAGGAGGAAGTTCAGTTTCAAAAGGATTTTTGTGGTAGAACAAAACAGTACTGCATAGAAGATACTCTATGTTTATATTTACCTCTTGACTTGTGGTTATCATTGACTGCTTCCTGCTTGGGAAAGTGTTATCTTTTTCAAACTACAGTGTGGTACTTTATTGACTAAAAAAGGTTAAAAAGAAATTGCAAAAATATAACTATAAAAACAGGGATTGATTTATAACACATAGCAGAATTTAAAGCCAGGAAAAAAATGAGAAATGACTTCAGAAAGTTCAGAGTCTAGAAGAGATGAAAGATATTGAAATGGGGGGAGGGAGGTGGGCACTAGAATAGAGTGCTGTGGGAATGTGAGGGAGAGCAGGATTCTGACTTGGGCAGTGGGGAGAAAATCTGGGAAGGCTTCCTGGAGGAAAAGATATTTGAGCTGAGCCCAGAAGGATAAATAGGCAGGGAAATGAGGGAAGGCACCTATGCCAAACAAACAGGCAGAGGCCTGGAGTTTCTGCCAGACACACTGTTACTGAAGTGTGTGATCTTTTATTTTATTTTTTTCCTATTTTTCCCATTTTTACTTTTTTTCTTTATTGTATGTGATACTTTTGGAACTCTGCTTTTTTTTGAGTGGCTTTAGTCATTTTATTAGCCATACAACAAAAGAATCTTAGCACTGTGTAATTGGTCCTTGGTTTTTGACCAAAAATTTAATTTTATGCCTTTACTTATCAACTTATTTATTGGATATGGCCAAGAATGAATTTTCACTGTTTTCTAAAAACTGAGTTTATTTTCAGAAAGGTGAAAACCCACAACTGCTCTTTATATTTTGAACAGGAACAATATTTTTTAAAGCACACACCTTACTGGAAGGGCCTGACCTTCAATTGGATGTATATGTCATGTTGTTGCTGTTAAAAATTAGGTCACAGCTAGTTAAAAAAATTTTATCCTCACCTGAGGACATGCTTATTAGTTTTAGAGAGAGAGAATGGGGGAGGGGGAGCGGGGAGAGAGAGAGAAAGAGAGAAAGAAAAATCAATCGGTTGCTTCCTGTATGTGCCCCAACTGGGGACCTGACTGAACTCTCTCAGCCTAGGCATGTGCCCTGACCAGGAATCAAATCTGCAACCTTTCTGTTACAGGACGACGCTCCAACCAACTGAGCCACACCAGCCAGGGTCACAGTTAATTTTTTATTTGACTTTTTTTAAATTGAAGTATCTACAATGCCGTATGTTCTTTAGTGATGGCATTGAACTTTCTCGGTGTATCTGTTTCACAATTTTCATAAGGACTCTCTCATGTCTTTGTTCCTTAGAGAACGTGGTGTCACTTAACTGTTCGGCCGTGACACCTGCCCTCTGAGGCATCCTCCCCTGCTCTGGGTATGTGTGGATTTAGTCCCCTTTCTTGTGGCTTTCTGAGAAAGCTGGGGCTGTCACGCATTTCCCTCCATTTCTTCTGAGAAGAAAATGACAAGGAATTGATTTAAAGTCTACATTGAGCATAGGAAAGTGACATTCAGGTTGCCAGAAAATGAAAGCCCAGCTCTCCTCTTAGGGAGCTAAGGAAAACTATCACCATGATTTTTTTGTTCAGCAAGTGAAAATTTGGGGAGGATACATAAGTTTAATGACACTTGAAAGCTTCCTGAAGGAAAAGTTATTAGTCTAAATACTACTTGAAGGTGACATTTTTTGTAATGACTGAATAGATTTCCAAACCCTGTTTATGTCAGGTGATATTCAAGGAACCAACCAAACTGCTCAAAGAAGATCACTGTAATGAAATTTGACCATTAAGTCATGCATGAGTTTGAACATTAAGTTGTGATGTTTTCATTGCAGATGGTGGTCAGGCTTCATTTAAGTATTTTCAGTCAGCAGAGGAAGCAAGGCGCGCCATCGAGGCCGTGTTGTCAGCTGACCCTCGGTCTACCTATCGACGGAAGCTCTGCCAGGACCGCCTTTTCTACTTTACTGTAGACATAGCACATGTCACTTGCTGGTTTGGTGATGGCTTTGCAGAAGTTTTAAGGATTAAGCCGTCTTCTGACCCTGTTCACATGACTGACCCTGTGGAGTCCTTGGTGTCTATGGGATCGTAAGTAGCTTCCGTCACGTCTTTAAGACAGCCTCTTTGACTTTGGTTGTGACTGGTGGATTTTTTGTACAAGCTAATGATATGCCTTCTTTGCAGAAAGAAAGGACACTTTGTGGCCTCACTGTTTTGATTTAAGTTCATAATATTTATTTGAAAAACATGTACATATTTTATTTAATAAACTGATAGTTAAAATTTAAAGAAATTGCCGTATGCTTCTTGATTGGTTAATCTTGAAGAATCCAAAAGTGATGCTGTCTCAGTGATGTCTGGAAGAAGCTGATTGTTCTTGGTGCTTGATAAAACTGGACAGAGATCATTGTAGCAGGGACTTTCAAGCTGAGGGGACCTGTTCAACAACTCATATTTGTTTTCCTGTTTGGAAAAGCCTGACCTCTCTATTTTATTCTAAATCAAACTGAGTTACTCTGTCTTAGGAAACTAACAAATCAAAAACAAGTGGTTATAAAGCTCTTTAGAGATTAAACCCCTGTGCTTCAAAGACTGTCACGCATGCACGCGCGCACACACACGTGTATATGTCCTAATTCCAGAATAGAGACTCATATTTCTTTGTATCAAAAAAGAAAGTCACCCCCAGACGTCCAAGAAAATAACTTATAATTACTGGTTTATTTCTTATTTATTCTATGACTGACTATTGGGTTAGGTTTGGGTGATAAAATGAGATGAACAAGATGCAGCTCTTGTTACAAACCATAGTTAGTGGAAGAGGCAGACATAAGGACATTACTGCATTACAGTTAGATAAGTGTAATAATTAAGTCTGTACATGGTTCCTGTGAGGCCACGTAGGAAACAGTTATAAGAATATATTGCCTATAGATGATTTTATTGATGTGCTCTCATGACAAGATTTATGAAGAACATAACCAAGTTAGACACCTGTAAATATGACATAGGCTTTCCCAGTCACAACTGTCAACCTTAGCAGTCAACCTTAGCAGTTGATTGATGATGTATTTGAAATGAGCCCTGCTGCCTGTAGACACTTGCACAGAGTAATCCGTGGCTGATGGCACTGCACTCTTGAATCAAACTGGGTTTCTTTGAAGTTGCTTAGAACCTCTTGGGGAAGTATCTTTAATTTTATTTTTAAAAGCTTTTTATTTTGAGATCATTAAAGATTCAAAAGAATTTGCAAAAATAGTGCAGAGGTCCCTAGTACCCTTCACCTAGCTTCTAGCTGTGTTAACATCTTATGTAACTATAATATATTGTTAAAACTAGTAAATTGACATTGGTGTAATCTATCCCAAATTTCCCCTTTGATTTTTTTTTCCTTAAAATTATTTTGAGACTGACTCAGGGCTTGAAGCACAAAGTATTGGTACTTAATATGAAAAAAGTAAGTCTGAGGACGATACGAATCAGCCTTCTAGGAAGAGGATTGTTGTTGTTTGGGGTTTTAGTATAAATTCTCAAACTTCTAGAACTAAAATCCTAAATATCATCCAGCTCCGAATTCTGCACTCAGTAAGCAGGGACGGTTTGTATTCCTAGGACAGATCGATTCCTACCATTTTGCCTTCATCAGTACTGTTCCTTTCATGAGGGGCATCCTACGCTGTCCTCTGCCTCAGCGTGTTAAAAGTTCCCTAGTCTTTAAATGCGATAGTCATACCCCCTAGCCAGGTGCAATTCCTTCTGTTCCTTTTTTGTTTTTGCTTATGGAGTATTGTGTTTGCATGTTTCTAGTGGCAGCTACCTTATTCCACTTGGCACTGTAGCTATTTAAGAATGCATTTCAGTTCAACACACTTTTAGATACTCATATGTGAATTGAAATGTATATGCTACAGTATAAAGTACCTGAGGGAAGGGGCTGCCTTATTGGTATTTGTCTTTGCTGTGGTGCATTGCAGGGGCCTATGCTTTTACTGAGTTGTGAAAAGAAGACACCAATAGCTTTTGGTACATGCACATTTAGACTTAAATTTGCTCAGCAGTTAATTAAGACATCTTAGAAAATATTCCAAGATTTTAGCTAAGGAATATTTTCTTTCTGAATCTAGAAGTCAAGGTGATTCATTTTAATTCTTTTTAAAAAAATTTTTGAGTCTACTTGATAAGTGGAATAAGTCGCTGTCTCTCTCTCTTTTTTTCCCTGACCCCCAAACTCAATTAAAAAAGAAAAAAGTTTATTTGAGCCAAACTGATGACATATGGCAATGGGCAAAACCTCAGATGCTCCCTCATGAAGGAGAATTTTTGCTTCTCCTTCATATTTTTCTTGCATTAAATCTCTTTGCTTTATTTTCTCATCCACAAATTGGGGAATAATAATATGTACTTCATGTGGTGCTTGTGGGATTTACTTGAATTAATACATGTAAAGCACCTAGAATAGTGTCTGGCGTAGAGTGCACTCCTGGTAGCATTTAGCTAGTGTTATCAGTCATAAGCAAAGCTGTTCCTTTCAGGAAGCAGTGAACGCATCTGGAGTCAGGCACAGGTTTTTCCCTGCCTATATCTTTGTCTAAATTCCCCTGAGAGCCTGCATACCTGGGTAATTGGAGCTGAAGTGGACTGAGCCCCTTTCCCTCCATCACCTAATATATCCATAACCACGCCTGAGTAAATGTTACCGGTGTGTTTAGATGAGGGATTCTAATACTTTTTTTTTCTTCTTTCTGTTGTGGGGTGAATCAGATTCCATACAATTGCTTATTTAAGACTACATATACTATGTTTCATAAAATGTAAGCTTCGTACAAAAAAAGGGACTGAGTCTGATTTATTCACAGTACCTCAGCCTTGACACACTGCTTTGTGTACTGTAGGCTTTCATTTGTTAAATGAATGAGTCAGTAAATGGAGTTAAAAAAGTGAGACGTGATTCATTTTGCTGACCTTTGGAAGGTATCCTATAGCCGAAGTCTTTCTTCTGAGAACTAATCTATCGTTTTTATTTATTTATTTTTAAAAGTTTTATCTTTTAAAAAAATTTAAAAAATTTTATTGATTTTTTAGCGAGAGAAACATCAATTTGCTGTTCCACTTCTCTACCCATTCATTAGTTGATTTTTGTATGTGCCCTGATGGGATTGAACCCTGCAGCCTTGGCGTATTGGGACGATGCTCTAATCAACTGAGTTACCTGGCGAGGGCAAGAACTGTTTTTAGTACAAACATAAATTACTCTTTATTTTGTATTAATAGATTCTTTGCTATATCCTAGTCAAGTAATTCTATTTATTTTCTTACATGTAAACCCTAAATATAAGAAATTGGGAGTAAAAATCTTGTTAATATATAAGTGTTAGAAACATTCCATCTCACCTACATGAAAATCATCTAATAGTATGACATAATAGAGCAGGTGCCGCTATGCACCAGACATTATGTTCTGAATGTTTTGAAAAATAAAATATCTATTTTCCTAAGTGCAATGTGGTATGCTGAATTGAATCTTGGAATGGATAAGGAATATGAGGGGAAAAACTGGTGAGGTCTGAATAAAGCCTGGAATTTGATTAATTGCAATGTACCAATGTTGGTTTCTTAGTTTTGCCAAATGTACCACGGGAATGTAAGAGGATAATGTTAGAGGAAACTGGGTGAGGGTTATATGGGAACTTTCTGTACCATCTTTCCAATTTTTCTGTATATCTAAAATTATTCCAAAATAAAAATTTTATTTAAAAAAATGTAAAAAACAAAAATACTGCATACAGAGTCCAACACAAATAACATTCCTTTTTAATTACAAAATCATAAGCATATAATTCTGTAACATAACAATATCACACTCAATCATGCCACGTAACATTTTAGGTGAAATGTTCAAATTAAAACTACAAATTATTACACCCATATTATTACCCTACCAACCACACTCAAGCAGGCGTTACTTCTGCCAGACCCCATATAATCCAGCTTAATTCTCGGCCAGCTCATCAGTCTCTTCAGTATTCCTAGTGTTTGGCCTTCTCGTCCCTCGTCCTTCACTCCTGTCTTCATTATGTATGGACAGTACTCATTATTAAAATGCCCTCCTTTTATACGAGATAAAATCCATCCTCCAATAACTGCCCTCTAGCGGGACCCCGTCGCATAGGGCTGGTTTCACTCCCGCGTTAGCCTGTCAGGTACCGTTCCAGCTTCCCACCCGAAGGCCCTCTGTTACGCGAGCACTCCTGTATTTCTCAGCTGTTTCTCACATAATGTGTTCTGAGCCTCTCTCCACTCCAGTCCTTGAGTCCTTGAGTCCTTGAGTGTCCTGTTATGAGGAAATTTGGATTTCTAGGTCATAAACTTCCATCCCTCAGAAAGAGAAATAGTTTTAAACAAGTCTTACATCTCTTTGCATCTGGGAAACTTTTTCAAAAGAAGAAAGGGACACAGTCTCTTTACTGTGCATAAATGACATCTGCCTTAAATTTAGCCTTTCCTCTTTGGGGCCTGTAGGTGGAGCCCTTGATAGCTGATTATTTTCCCTAGCTTGGAGATAAACCCCAGAAGTGCAAGCTGTTCAGGTAATTTGGGTTTTCTGCGCTCCTACCCCAGCTTTCCAGAAGAGTAATTTCCACAAGAAATATGAATGCTTGTCAATCACATATAGGAAGAGATTAGAAGGATGAGTGCCATTTATTAAATTTTCAAGTTGAAGCTTGGCTTATGGGGTGGGATGCATTATTCCAGCACGTGGAGGTTCCGCAAAACCAGGAAGGCTCCTTTGCCAAACCTATAAGCATGTGTGCACAAGGTATCCTTTCTGTGTATGTGTTGGTGACTTTTTTCTTTGAAAAGAAGAACATGAAGTCGAAGACATGAATTCACCTCTTGCTGATAGTTTTCTTTTTATGACAATGGTCCTAGAGAAGGCAGGTGAGGACTCAATAATAACGAAATCTGTGTCAGTTACCGAATTTTTGTTATGAACTTTTGAACTTGGCCCTGGAGGACATGCTTGTCATGCGTTGATCCGAGGTTAGGTCACATGCTCAAGCTCACACAGCTGGTCAACACACATCAGGGATTTCAACCCACCCTGTCTGGCCCCACAGCAGGCTCCCTTCCCAGCCTGGCCCAACTGCCTCTGCCAGGGCAGATGTAG